ACGCGTGTACAGATCAACTTCAAAGCCCCAAGTACCAAACCAGTTTTCGCCGGCAGAAGCACTAATGGGAAGAAAACTCCGTACTGTGAATTCCCTGCTAACTCCGAGGTGTACTAATGAGCAAGAAAGGAACGTTCGGATGGAGCAGTACTACAACGAGCGACACAGAACTCAAGCACGCCGCTTTTACCCCGGACAGCGTGTCTTAGTAAGAGACTATCGCGCGGGAAACCCGCAATGGGTGGTAGGATCGATTCGGAGAAATATTGGACAGGTGCTATATGAGGTTAATGTGGGTAATTTGATTTGGACCAGGCATTCCAATCAGCTGCGACCAACTAGCATCCCTGCGGGCAATGGCGCTCGGTTACTACCGTTAGATATTCTACTAGAGAGTTTCGACATGCCATCTAATCCCCAAAGCAATTCGGATGCATCCCGCACAGAAGTCTCAGAGGAACCGAAGGTTCAGACCCGGCGCTGTACTGATCGACTACGGAGACCTGTCGTAAGAATGCAGTTGGATCCAAAAATGAAGTCTTATGTCAACTTTTGCAGGGGAAGGTGTTAATGGGACGGAACCAGCCAATGAGAGCGTTTACGCTGAGGGCTATTGATTTGGCCATTATTTGAATGTACCGTTAGTTGGACGTTAAGAAAAATATACTTGCCAGCCGTACTCCGGTCTCCTGCTTTGGGAAGTCGGGCTAGTCAGAGTGCACGCTAGCAGCAGGTCATCGGTAGGTCAGCCGAAACCATAACAGATCAGAACTGTTTGTCTGTTCAATCCTTTACCTAAGCTGCAATCTACAGTTCTGCCGCGAATCAGCATTGTTGGCGATGTTCTGCACTCTGCCTATCGCTTCTGCTAACTTTGGAATGTGGTGTCAACTGACCAGTAGCCACACAGTGAGCTTCGTATCCGCTTCTCGAACGCAGCGGTGACATTCGGGAAGCTTGAGTACCGAGTGTAGAAGAACCATCAGCTGCTGGTCTACAAATCCATGGTGCTGTCCGTTCTTCTATATGGCAGCGAAACGTTGGCGGTGTACCGGCGGGATGTATGATATTTTGAGCGGTTCCATCAGCAGTGTTTGCGGCGAATTCTGTACATTGGTTCTTGCGACGGAGTTGCGGACACGGAGGTGTTGCTCCGATGTGATATATATGCAGTGGACTGCATACGTTTGCTGAGACACCTGAGGTGGTTCGCTCATGTGGGGCATATGGATTCGACTCGGATACAGAAACAACTGCCTCATAGTCGAAAGAGTGCAAGGAAATGGCTTTTGGAAAACCGATTACCTTATCAGGACATGGTCAAAGTGAGCCTATCAAGTTCTTATGTTGATTACAGGTGTTGGGATTCGAAGGCGCTTGAACGGCGTGCATGGCGCGATCTGATAACGAATGCCGTTGCCGAGGTGCAACAGAAAGTCCTCGGGAATGCAGAACAGAAGCAGCCATTGCGGAAGCGATAGGCTCCTATATGCTGTATTCCATTGACGTCGAGCGCATGGTGCTGTAGTACATGCGGTCGTTGGTGCCTGAGTCAGGCAGGCCTTGGGAGCCATGAGCGAGGCTACGTGGGGCAACCCGGAAACCACAACGGTTCCTACTGAGAGCTTTAGCAGAACCGGCGCAGTGTTTATAGGTACGCTGCATTCGATTTACTAACTGCTTGCTGGCATGCTGAGTCTCTTTATTTCAGGTGGTGTGTTTGCTATATTGTCCTAGTATTTTTTTCTCTCATATTACTGTCTACCCGAACTATCTTCTAAAAACTTGCACACGTCGTTTAAACCAATCGTAGTGAACTTCCATAACGTTTTCACGTTTGTTGCATTTTCTTAAAACATAGTTTTTGACGTTTTTAACTTATCGTGCATTTGTTCGTAACCAATTGATTTTATACGCTAATTTTTTGAAGAGATATGACACCGTATCTGGATGCACTATTCGATTTATTTTATTTAATATCGTCGTGTTTAGTGATTGGTTGTTGATTTGATTTACCCGGTGTGGCTGCACTTGATGTGCATATTGACAAGGTGCCTAACTCTCCTTTTTTGCTACCTCGTCCATACTGGCTATAGGAGACAGTTGGTCGTTGCTGGAGGGGACGGGGGTGCACGGTCCTTGTGGTTGTGCTACGCTATACACTAGTGTGCAGTGAACTTCTGTCCAGCCACCACCTTGTGTGCACTTCCACAATTGCCGCTTCTGTTCTGCACTCCCGAGGGCTTTCTCTTGCACATCGGTAACGGCCTTCGCATCATGCACGCCGATCAACCGCGTTCGATTCCCAACACCTGTAGTCAACATTTTAACGTGATAGGCTCACTTTGCTCATGTCCTGATCAGGTAACTTGTTTTCACACGTGTCTTTTCCCTGCACTCATTTGGCTGTTTGGCTGTTGTTTCGGTATCCGGGTCGATTATTTGCCTCGAACACGCCCCAGCCACCTCAGCCGCCTTAGGAAAATGATGCTGTCCACTGTATACATGCCACTGCATCGGAGCACCTCCGTGTCCGCAACTCCTTCACTTTAGCCGATACGCCGATACGGCGCAGACACTGCTGATGGAAGCGCGCCAGATAACGGACATCCTTCAGATAAAACGTGCAGGTTTCGCTGCCGTTTAGAAAACGGAAAGCACAATAGACTTATGAAGCAGCAGCTTCATGCTGACAGTGAGCTGATGGTTGTTCCACACACGGCATTCTATCTTGCCAAATACAGCAGCAGCCTTCCATATGCGTCTGTGCAACTAGCTCGTCATCTGCTGGTCGGTTGTTATTACGCTACCAAAGTAACAGAATCTCCGTGTGTTTTTCAACGCTACCTCGGCAATCTACATTTGGAGCAGACCCGCAGACTCCATTCCAGGTATAAGCTGGAGGAGATAAACAGTCAAAGCCAGTGCACTAGTCATGTGCTGCAACTCATCCTCGCTATGCGCAAACAACGCACATCGTCAGCAAACAGCCACATGCGGGTAGTTGTCTCACACACTAGAGTTCTCCCACCGAAACGACGGATGTTCAGCAACTCACCATCAACACGGTGCTCCACACGAACACCGCAAGTACAAGCGGCATCAAAATCACTCGACATCATAACATGAAGATACATATTAAACAGTGCAGGAGCAAAGACAGCCTCGCTTCACACCAGAGACAACTGCAAAGTCATCCGAAGTCTCTCCACTCAGCTGCACCCTCGCCCGCCTACCGCTATGCGCACACTCAGTTAAACTTAAAAATTTACTTGGACAACCAAACTTGCCCAACGCCAGCCACAATGCCTCGCGGTTCACCGTATCAAATGCTTTGGTGAAATCAACAAGAAGCGAGTACAACGACTGGTGTGGTTCTCTACACTTGCAACCGTCGAACCGCCAACACGATATATACGGTGCTGCGACCTGAACTGAATCCACATTGCTCTTCCGCCACGTTAGGTTCCACAACGTGACTGATGAGGCTGTTGAGGAGGATTCGGGCAATCACCTTGCCGACACAGCTCAGCAAGTTGATGCCACGATAATTCGTGCAATATTGCTTGCTCCTTTTGCCTTTGTACAGTGTGAGCACAAACGAATCTTTTAGATCAGGAGGCACTTCCTCCTCAATCCGCACGCTTTCCACCAAGTGATGCAGCGCAGTCACCAACGCGGGTCCGCCTTGTTTTAATACTTCAGGTGGGATCCCGTGGGCACCGGCACACTTGCTGTTTCGAAGCTGAGCAAGTGCTCCCTGCGTCTCATCCGACAACGGCATGTCCACCTAGCTCGCCTACACCTCGTGCTGTTTCAGGCCTTTTTAGGTGGGTCAGTTAATCATCGAACGGTTGTTCAAAAGACAGTCAAAGTGTTTTTGCCAGATCTGCATTATGTCTCCGGTCTCAGTGCAGGTATTGCCTGAACTACCATGGATTAGCGTCCTCAGCGGCTCCAACCTCGGTCCGTACACCGCCTTCAGGGAGTCAAAAATTGCTTATGTTGGAGGCGTTCGGCGTAGCGTTCCATCTGCTTTGCCTTCTCCGTTCATTATTCATCTTTAACGGGACGGAGCTCGCGAGTCAGTCGCCGTCGAAGTTTGCGAAACTGACTACTCTTCCCCAAGTCATTGGAGTCTGCGACATATGCAGCAAATGCTGCATTCTTCTCTGACACCAATGCGCCAATCGTCGCATTGTTCTCATCAAACCAATCAGGCCGCTTACAGTTAGCGCGCCCGATGGTCTTTTCGGCAGCAGCTGTCACCTGGTCGCGAATGTGGTGCCACAGGTCGCCCAATGTGGCTATGCATTCCACATCACACGGGCGTGCAGCCATAACTTTCTCCATTTCAATACATTTCTCCACAGTTCCGGGAGTGCAATACATAGATTTACGAAAATATATATACAGTTAGGTCCGCACCAACTTGTGATCAGTGCAACACAGCTCCACGCAATACACGTGTCATGCGCAGTTCGCACATATCACGCTGACGTGCGACGACGTAGTCGAGCAGGTGAGGGTGATCACTCCGTGGGTGCGTCTAAGTTGCTATATCACTCGCACTCCGTGCAAACCGAGTGTTCGTGATTGTCATGCCGTGAGTGGCATATAATGAGAGCAGCCTCTCACCGTTCGCATTCGCTGAGCCAATGCCATGCAGACCGATGACATTTGTCCACACCGATACTTCACGGTCAACGCGCGGGTTGAAATCACCCAGCAGACATAGTCGGTCACTGCTGAGCACAGACCATATCACGGAGGACAGCTGAGTGTAGGATTGATCACGCGTGTCATCAGGATAACACATGGTCGAACCGTACGTGCTTATAAAGATGGCAAACGTCTCTCTTCCGAGTCGTAGGCGAACAGTCATCAGCCGCTCCTTGATGCTAGTCGGCTCCCCCACCATCTAGGCGTTTAGGCGATCGGATATTGCAACTCCGACCCCATGATCACGTGGTGCTGAGGTGTTGTTACCCACTCGATGTAACGTATACCTGGCACCAACTTCATGCAACTTACCTTGTTCAGTGAGCCGGGTTTCACTGAGCGCCGCGATGTCGATGTTGTGGCGCACCAGTTATATGGCGACTAGTGCAGTGCCTCGCTCGGGACGCGTACTCGTATTCCGGTCGAGCAATTGCGCATATTCCAGCAGCTAATTTGAGGCGCTCTGCGCGGAGGCATACGGTTGCATTGGCGGTCATTCGTATGGGAGGTGATGTCCTGCATTGCAGGAAGTAGCGGTTAAGTATACCGGGGACAGGCAAATATATGCAGTTGAAGAAGAAGGAATGGAGGCGCCAGCAATAGCAAGTTCTCTGTTATAGACCCCGCTGTTTGCAGCAGATAATGCGACCCTTTTCCTAAGTCCACCGCGACACTACCAGTGCCGCATGAATTTATTATTATTGGCATAATTCATGGTTGGGGATTTGATTAGGATAATGGCAGGGTGCACACACTTGACAGGATAATGTCTCGGGTCCTCAGCCAAAGCCTTCGATAAGATATGCACCCGAAAGTCAGCTGGCTGAGCGTCATGACTCAGTACATCGACTCACGCGGAATCATGTCCTGGATCTGAGCTAGAAGAAGGGTGGAACCCAACTCCCGCCCAGCAGTCCCGACGAGTATTCGTCCAGGACATGAGCCCATTGCACAACATTAGCGGTAGCGGGTCGACGATATGTCAGAATCTTGACACCACAAGCTTCAGCACACCATGGGCGCCGTATATATATATATATATATATATATATATATATATATATATATATATATATATATATATATATATATATATGGATCTGGTGCGTGCGGCAGCCTCGGTGAGAGGCTCCTGTACTCTACTGCACGCCAGTCAACTGCATTCTGATGTCAGCTCAATTGGCGACGTAATGTTTGTAACGAAATTCAGCGAGCAGTTACTCTGCCATCTGAACAACCTGAGCTAGCCGTTTTTAATTCTGTGGCATAACTGTGGCTGTTTGTAGTGCCCACTGTTTTGATCGAGATTGAGACACTAAATCTGTGTCGCGATTTGCGTTTGAATGAATCTTAACCTGTTCGGTCACTCAGACCATACCTGAAGCAGATAAATGTTGGACTCGGTTCACACCTTGCACTTAATTTCACCTTCGCTAATTGTGCTTTCTACAGTTTCCATCCTTTGAGAGTCAAACCCACACACAACACGATATCACCTTTTGTCAAACAGTTAATGTCTCCTTATTTGCATTGTTTGCAGTAACTTTTGCTTGACTGAAATTCAATTCATTTGCTTTGGAGCAACTGATATCTGCGCAACTTTCCAGTTTCGAGCTCAAGCGAATCATCAGTTTTGTAAACATTTTGATCAAACTCTTGAGCTTTGCATTTTGATACTCGAAACTACCATCGTTTACTGAGTTTCGCCCGTCTTGATGCTGTGAGCGGCATTCGTTTACCAGGGGAGATGAGTATTACACCATATCAGGCCTAATGGTTACCTTCTGTTAAATCATTTTCCACCTGTTTGCGTACGATAGACGAAAATATATGCTTGTTGTATTGATCATTTGTGAATTTTGCCGTCTTTTTTTACATTTTCTCATTTTGCCTGTTGAAGAACCTCGGTATATGAAACCTGGTTTTCGCCGTCGCCGCCATCGCTGCCTTACTGTTTTGTCATGCGTCACATCACATCCTTCACGAAAACGTTGGCGATCCGGGAAGTTCGAGGAGGAGTCAAAGAATGTTGAAACTGAGGCTCAGTGCACACGAGTTCCCGTCGATCTTGACGCAGTGGTTACGACCGTCAACAGTATTGATCTTCCGGACCACACGGCAGCATTGAAGTCGCAAAAGACGTATAGTCAACCAGTTTCTACCTCCCTGGTGTCTGGAGCAATTACATCCCACATCATTAGCATGGGTAGCGTCTCGTCAGTTGTTCTATCCTATATCCTTCTTTTCAACATTTCTTCGTCCAATGTGTGTGTGAAAACCTCTAGAATTATAACACTACTGTAATCATCAAAACGAGAGTTAGCGAACAAGCTTGCTTTCGGTGGACCTCATCTGGCTTGTACCCCACAACTGATTTTGATAACGTGAACGTAAATCATCAGACAGTGGTTAAGTTCAAGGTTTTACTTCATCTGTATAACAGTGCTAGGTTGTTGGTTCAGAAGCTGTCAAGGACATGTCAATGGCGTGTACCAGGGTTGAGCCATAATCTGGACGAATCGTTTTTGCGCACACAATTGGATTCTGGAGGCTAATAGCCATCTTTTCGGCTCTTGCTAGTAAACGACATCTTACCGCGCATGTACTGCGTCCAGATACACGGCAAATGAGTTGGAAGGATTGGCAGTCATAGATTTATTTTTGAAGTTCATGTCTAGGATGATTTCCCGTTGGTGATAGCATTCGTTCTTTCTCACACCTACTAAAGGTAAGGCGTTGACCCGCTCATCTGGACCTACTTTCTACCTACAGTGCAGTCACTTATACGTTCCACCAAGTGCTACACGGTTTTCAGTTAGAATCTTGAGCCATGGTATTTTTATTTACCCGTTGTCCTGGTGTGTTGTAAGTATGTGATAACATCACTTGTCTTTACGCTACCCTCACAATCAGTCTGTGTTTTTTGCGTTTGTAGCATCAGCTGTACCTTGCACATCGTCTGGTGTCTTCGAGCCACTTGGTCGCGGTCGTTCAAAAGGTGTGAAGACAGTCGAAGGTGGAATTTCGACACAATGCCTGTTACGTGCTAATGGATTGGTCGTAAGTTATATTTACTGACACAAGGTGATGCTCCCATTTCATCTGTCATTTGGCATCTGATGCTCATTGGTGCATACCGCCATGGGTATATTATCATGATGACTGCTTTTAGCATTCATTTTTTCAATGTGTCGATTACTTGACTACCATGTCTTGGGAATCAAATGTGCATGTGATTAGATAATGCTTACGCTACTGTAGAAGCGGACCGTTTACGCAGTGCTAGCAACGGGCTGCGGTAAGTATATGTGCCCTCTCACTTTACACAGGGCACAGGAAGTACCCTCGGCCTGTTTTCCTTCAGTTGACTGTGGAGTCGAATAAACGCTTCTGGATATCCGTTGGCCCGTAGCGTCCGTGTGATAAACAGGAATTCCGATTCCAAACATTCGCCAGTGCATATTCTGCGGGCTCGATTAAACAGCGTCTTGACTAAGCACTGCTTGTATTGTATAGGATCGAAACTGTTGAAGTGTTCATACAATCCTGTCCATGTGGGTTTCCTGTGAACAGAACGCTTTATAGAGCCGTTTTCTCGTCTGGTCAACAACACATCCAAAAATCGGAAGGCAATTGTTATCCTCCAGCTCGCAGGTAAAACGGGCGTTTGGATGTGCGTTATGGAGCACATTGAGAAAGGATAGAACAGCGTCTCCATTTGGAGCGATCACTAGTGTGTCATCTACATATCGCCGGTATAAACACATTTGATTGATATGCGGCTCACATCTCATTTCAACCATCGTCATGAAGATGTTAGCCAATACCGGGCCAAGCGGACTTCCCATGACTACTACAGCATCCACTTGTCGGTACGGCTTGTCTTCAAATAAGAAATGCACATTTTCCGTGCATAGTAGCAGCAAATCCCTAAGATATTGCACCGGAATCGGTAACACTACTTTCTTACTCAGCATAAACTCACATAAGAAATCCACCGTTTCTCTTAATGGGATGTTGGTGAACAAAGACTGTACGTCCATTGAACACATTACCTTGTCAGCAACATACATGCATCCGACAAGACTTGTTACGTATCTGGAGTCTGGAAATTGGGCCGCTCGTTTCTGTCGGCGTAGCCACGTTTTTGGATATCACTGAACCTGAGTTGGTCAGACGTGCAGCCCCTGTCAGCAGCGTATATTGTGACCCGGTTAGATTACTTGATACCAAATGGGACTTCTGCCCTTTATCTCACGTTGAACAACTGAACGCGTAACTGCCTTCCAAGTATTTGTTCCATTCAATTTAAGTGGAGTAAAATTAAACTTTGTGCACCCACACGGACGCATTCGTTTACCTTACTTCGGAACCGCGTCCTGCTGATTTAAGTTACCACAGGATTTGACCAAACTTCGCCTGTACATACACGTTATTCCATAGTCCATTTTATTACATCTATTTTTTGTCGTTTTTTCCTTGTTCTGTCGTGGAGAACTTATCGTTTTTTATAGGCAGGGGGAATTTGTGCCATAACTGCAAACTAGGTCACAGACGTTATGAACATCTGTACCTTTTCATACAGCGTATTTGGGTCTACTCATCCGACAGCAGGATCGTTAATTCACGAATGCATCATTCTCTGTTTGTACACTGCAAACACGGGCATCACCCTGTAGCAGCTCTTACGCACCGCTGCTTTGAGGTCGTTGCAGGACGGTGGAGGTGTCTGTTATTTCCGGGGTCAACCAACTTACTCAAACCACAGAGACACACGAACGATTCAGCGCGCCTTGCTCACTCCGCACCATGTGTTCACATACCATGAATTCAGAGTACTGTGCAAATGAGGCGATATGGACACGAACTGTTTACTACCGCGTTGACCACATTTGGCACACCACATCGTTCTAAACTGGCTTGGCTATCTGGTTGGCCAGTTGACTTATTGGATTCTACATGTAGGTTGTGGTAACTTAATTTACGGACTAGGAGATAATGCTCGAAGCGTGTATGCGCTTGCCTTTACACATTCGAATATTTCAATTTTTCTCGTTTTAGACGTATGTGGTGGTGGTTGCTTTTCATATTATGAGCTTTGCTATCATTCCCTTGCACTCCAACAATAACAATAAAACAATTGCTGCGCTAGCAAGTGCTGATACTAATATGTGTATCAGTAATTGAGACATTCGTTTTTGTGCAAGTGGGACCATGCTGTTGCATTACGTGGGAATAGATCTTTTTGTTTGTTCTTGCCCTTGACTCTGTGGCGTTCATGGGGTTGGAGTTGAAGAGAAGAATATTAGGAAGCAGAAGACCGAAGTTGAAAACTTCGATCTTGTTACAGATTGGATATGCTCAGCACACCTGTTTAATGGGGCAATCACAATGAATTGCTTGGCAAATGGAAGCCAGGGTTGATTATTAGGTGTCCGTTTCAGCACGTTGCTCCCTGTTCAGAGCGTGCATTCCGCCGATCGATAAGTGATTAGCCGATGGAAGACTACAGTTGGAATTCACTGCTTTCCTTTTTCTCCATTCAATATAAGCATTTGTAGTTTGTGATTCGGTAGGTAGCGCTGATCATATTCCAACTTATCACATCCACATCTTTTATTACCTGCCTGTGCATCGCTACTACAGATCACAGTTGAACAGGGGATGAAGAATCATTAGTAATTTTCACAAGCTTACTAAGTCCTCTAGGGCAAAGCATCCTTAGTTTTATGGTTAATCCCTTCAACTGCTATTAATATGGGAGGGCCAGAATTACCACTGCGTTTGTTGTACATGTTCACTTTATCGCTACATCCCAACTATTTTCCTGATTGCTGGAAAGTCTCATTCATCATCCTACGCTATAAAAGTAGTCCCAATCAAAAAGGTTACTAATTGCCGACCCTTTCATCTTACTCACATCATCCTGATTCTGTTTGAAAGAAAACGTTGGATTTCCTTAATTCCCTGAATCTGTTTAACTTACTTCAACATGGTTTCCCCGATAGACGTTTCTGCACGATATGCCAGCTACACTATTTTAACTACACTTCAGAATTCATAGATTCTAGTTATTCCATAATATTCTTGTTTTTGGACCTAAAAATAGCATTTAACCGTGTACCACACAGACGATTGTTGATAAAGGTTGAATCCTTTGAAATCCGGAACCCGTTTTTAGCTTGACTTTCTTCTTAATTTAGCAATCGATCTCTTTGGTTAATCACCATCCTTCTCTTCCAATAACCAGCGGCATCATCCAAAGGACGGTACTTAGCCTTCTGCCTTTTCTCCTCCACATCAATGATATTGCCATGTCCATCAAAAATGCTCAACTCTTTTTATTTGGGGTTGATATCAAGATTGTTTATAAACTCTAGCGTGATGCGCTTCAGAACACACTATTTTTACTTAAGAAGATCTTCACTCTCTTGAAGAATGGTCTGAGATGTGGTTGATAAGATTCTCAACCGACAAATCAAACATTATGACATGTGATTGCTCGATCCCCGGCGGGTCAATCAAACTTAACAACAAAGGTATGTCCGTACGGCAGCTTACTCATGATCTTGCAATCCGATATGCTTCCGATTTCCGTTTTTCTGAAGAAGCCCGATACCAAATAGCTCGGGCTAAACAATCCGTGGCTAACATATGCCACAAAATCCATACAGCCCCTGGCAGATTGGAATTATTTAAAACTGTCACTAGTCTTATTCTCGAACACCGCAACTTTACCTATTGCACCACACAGAAATTAGACAGGAAAGCTATAGGAAATTTACGGAGGCCATTCACCAGACCTTTCTTCAATAGCACATCCACTCTAACGCGAACGTTGCAGCTTCACATCGAGCTTCTCTGGCTGCGACGTCCGAAGCAAAACCTGATGCTCCTCTATAATTTGTTGTACAATAAAACGTACTCTTACCTACATAACTTATAGATAAAACACACTAAACATCACAGACTCTGTAACAAACATTTACGCTAGGGATACTAAGGGCTAGAACCTCAATGCGGTCCCAATTTTTCCTCATTAGATTCGCCGTCCTGTGGAACAGCCTACCAACCGCAATCAGGACACGTGAAAACCCCACATCATTCCACATCAAAATCGACAGTGCTTAGATCTAGACTTGTAATCATCCATGTTCTCATCCGACAACAACGTGTCTCAGTGGATCGGATTGTAGTATGATAGCAACAAAACAATTAAGTATAAAAAGTGGACACTAATTTGAGCCTGTGAAGTTAGAGCGGAGTCTCAGCATTATACCGACACTACGCACCCACGATTCGCTGCTATGCAACCGGTTTACCGCAGGGACCACAAACCCATGGGAATTGGAATCCGGGACCGGGAATCCGAGATGCAAGCCAACTGCAATTATCGCTACAGCACGGATCACTGATAAAAAAGTTACGAGCCTACCACGTGTTTTTGTCTCCATTTGATTTGATTTGTCCACTAGGGGACGATTCATCAACAATTTAATTTTTCTTCAACAGCTGCCTAAGTTGTATTACACGTACAGACATCGTTCACTTGCCGCGCTCTTTAACATAAGCTTTACATTTGCCTCATCTGATATAGCCGTTTATAGCTCCGCTTATCGCTGAAAAGCATGTCATCACACAGCTTCTCTTCGCCGAAATTGTTACATGCTATCTGAGTAACTCTCCCTCAGTTGACCAATCAAGTGGACTGCTATGTCCGCCTTTTCTTCTTGCATCTTCCGACCATTTGAAGTAGCAGTCTTTCCACCAAGTCTACCAATATGCTAGGGGCCCCTTTACGCTGCGGGACAATGAGACCATTCTCGATGTCAAGAACTGTGTTTCCTCTGACTCGAAATATCTTGGCACTAAAAATTTTGATTGCTATCGACCATTGCAAATCAATTGAGAAACTATCAGATTTATAAGCTACTGCGATAATCTTAATCCATCAATTAATTCAAGAAATTCTGTTAAGCAATTGCTTTATGCACCCAAGACGAGGTTATCTTCACTCGCAACATCAGCAGGTTACATTTCGCTGTTATCTTTAATTAAGGTGTTCTTTACTTTCAGACACTTATACAAGCCATTAGCATCGCACCACATCTTCTGCACCCTGGCTCAGGTCTTACTAGCTATGACAGTCTTCACATGTGGCGATTCTTCAATACCTCTATGTACTTAGATTGTTGCGGTTGCACACAACTAGAATGCAGACGGATGCCTCCTCAGATTACTCATTGCATGGCTGTATGCGTACAATCCTCGTTGTCCTTTCCAAGTTATATAATTTTGCATAATAATTTTTTTGGGTGCACAGCAGCCGGCTGGTAGCTTACCGGAACGATGCCCATCCATTACCGGTAGCTCAGCCAGCTTTCACCAGTTGTTGTTTTTTTCTCTCCTTTTTTCTTTTTATTGCGGCACAGTAGCTGAGGTGTTTCCCACCTCTAGCTAACGTGTATGATGATGATGATGACGATGTCCTTTCCAAGTAACCGATTGGTTTCAGAGATACAGTGTCCCCTTATCACATCGGTCTACGATACCATTATTTGTGGCTCGAGGGTCACGAATGACGAATCTGTAACCTTCCTTTGTTTCTCATCTGCATGGACTGAAATATGTGCATCATTCTCTCTACTTGTGACAATAAGCTTCGAACGGATTGATTATCACAGTCCCAGCACCATCCACGAAATTGCTTTTGGACTACTATCCGTTTTACTGTTATTGTTGGTCAGTTTTCCTAGCTGTATGCTCACTACGTATTTCGCCATAATGCTGCCAGCTTCGCGTGGTGCAAGCCGGTGCAAAAGTATTGGTCAATCTGGAACTCACCTCCATTTCGGTCGCGTTTTAGCTCACATCCTAGTAGTGTCCAACCATGCGACTTCTTACTTCCTCATCGCCGTAACTCTGAGCCCAGAGATCAACACAATCTATCCGCCTCAACGTCCGGCCTGCTCTTCGCACCCCCGGAGGTTTTATTGCCGGATCCTCCGTAAGCTGATTCAGCTCTCTTTTGGGCAACTGGTTTCTAACTTTGGCGATTTAGTTAGTGTGCGATGGGACCATCACGTCAACTGCAACCATCCTTTTTCAACCTATTTTCATGCTAAACCGCTGCCTAACAGCCCCACCTTTGTTTCCATCGATGTTGGCTAACAGTAACGACGAGCATGCGAACACACGAATTCGACCCGAAGTTTTAAGGTACAAATTCCAAAATCTCCATTTCCTGGGTAGTGTCGCGAACTTTTGGACATCATAAAAACCACAGTAGTATCCGTTTCTTATACGCTTCATGATGATCTCTGATTTCAACTGCAGAAATCTTCTGCTCCAACACATTTCGCCCTCCTTTTAGATTGAATTCATGAATCTCGGTTACACACACTTTGCTGTGATCACTTTTTGTTTAATCACATGCTTTACATTTTCATTGCTTATGTAATGGTTGTTCATTTATCTCTGTTTGGTTTCAGCTTGATTACCTACCCCCCGTATTTGCGGAATTGGATGTGCTCACTTGTGCATCTACTGAAGGCACCGGATCTGAAGGACAACACGTGCCACCGGATGTTAGTGGGATACATCCCGAAGCTTCTTTCTATGAATTTCAATGGCTAGAGGCTGCTCGTTGGGTGCAGTACGAGGAGGATTTTGACCCACTTACTGGGGATTTCGGTCAAGCACATAGTCCACTGCTGATGTTTCACGCGGTGGTCGAATGTCTCCGGTACTTGGAGCGTGGTAAGCGACTTTTTCAACATCGTTTTTCAGGTTAATTGTTGTTACGGGCTTTGTGTTACAGCGTTGAGCTAAGCCGACTTGCTTACGTTCTTATTGTCGGCTCGTCATCTCAACCCGAGGGCTTTCGCTATCTTGCTCCGCTTAAGCTTGATAGTAAAGTTTAACGGCGATGAATTGGTTTAGGATGCCACGCTGACGGTAGCGAGAGGAGATTAAATATACGTACAACCGTCTAGCAAATATTGGCTTTGAATCTGATAGTGAGTACAATCTTATTTTCGACTGCTTGTATGCCTTCGTCATGTCATGTGGACAATCGAACTAGTCCACCTAGTCAGCCACATTCGGGACTGCACGCAATCGTACGAAGTGCAGTGTTGGGGAATTGCACATCATTACCGTATGTTCGAGATCAGCCCGTTGCATCACTGACGAGAATGTCGCAAAGCAGCAACTGATAGACGTCACCACACGCCGTCCTATGCCCTCACCAAATATGGACCTTGTTCACAACCACCGATGGCAAATTGTCGCCAATATCTTAGTATCCTTTGTGTTTAGATACATTGTCGATACTATGCACAGCCGTATTGACGACAGTATAGTTCAGCTGCACTCCAACGCCGATCCTTAGGGCGATGTGCCAGCCCGTGTCCTTAAAGATCACAAGCCTGACTGATAATCCTGAGGTCACGGGTTCGAGCCTGACAGGAGCCTAGACATCTCTCGCAGTATCCTTAGTCCGTGTGCGACTGGTGGTGGTTGCGCGTTTCAACGAAGCGTTCGTACTGCGTGCCTGCTTACTGCTGATACCTTGCTTTTTCCTTATTAGGGGGATGTGCCATCTTCTTGATACATTTTCTGGCATCGATGTCACAGAATGGGTATGGAAATCCTCATCTCAACTCCCAGAGTATAAACAGCAGCAACCATGATCTCATCGGCAGTGCGATACTGCTTGCCAGCCACTTGTTTTTTCATGTTTGGGAATGGCAGATAGCCGGATGCTACCGACTCGTACACAGCGCCTATTGAAATCGCAGACTTGTGCATAGAAGTGGCTTAACCAAACAGGTCCTTTTTCGCCAGGATTCCATTACGTTTTAACTTGATCTCTTTTCGTGACCTGTCTCTTCATTGATTGCACGCCCTTTCGAAACTTGTCAGTGAATACAATACCCTCTGCATCCCAAAGATGGTAACCATCACCCGTCCAGGTTACCTACACTCCTGGACGTATCATTCATCAAACTGAAAGTGTCACGTATTACGTGCTGTTAATTCTGAGCTTTTGGTCCGACATGCCAATCAGTTACGATTCGGTTCCTTTTCGGATGCATTACTAACACGCAGTATGTTACCGTTAGACTTGCTCCTGGACACATTCCGTATCAGCCCAGAAGACTCCACAGTCGAACAGGAGACTTCACTTCCCACATCTTTACCGGAGTTAGCATCAAGAAGATGGGCGGACGGACGCCGGAAGTCAGTGATTCCGATGCAGGTGAACCGATTCATTCAAAAGGTGGGGATGTTAGGGGACGCAGACCCTAAGGAAATCGATCGGATAGTGTGTTCAGCGTTCTTACTCGGAGGTGATTCGCTTATCTCATGGTCATGACCTTGCTTCAACCAATGACAGTTTACGATTTCATGGTCATGGTGTAGGAGCACTTTATAAACTACTGATATCGTCTCCTGTACCTCGTTTTGCCTTCTCGTAAGATAGTGTCCCTTGTCGACCTCTTTCGACTTCTGTTTTGGGCCGAAGGTTTGGGCTTTGGAGGTCGGCACGTTCGCGATACCACTTCCGATGTATACATCATCAACTGTCCAATCAGCACTTAAACGTTTGCCATTCATCTTCAGGTGGTGCACGCGGTCGATCCTTTCTTGGGTTGTGACTAAATGTATAAACCTTGGGTCATCTTCAAGACCCTCTCTGCACGTTTTGAATTCAACTGCTCACTATTGCACGGATGATAAAACCGAAATGGTATTTCCAAAAGTAGTAACCATGTCACATGACTGTCCTTGAGACTAACCTCTTCCACAGATATTTGGTAGCAACTCGATGCTGTACGTTGGTTATTTTCAGGAAATTACTGGTATACCACTTTCACTGTTTCTCACTCCTGTGCGTAATTTGGGCTTATACGAAAGAAAACACGCAGTTAGCATCAGTAAAGGTTGCATATAATGCACCCTAACTTTAGTACTCTACGGTAACTCCTTTTCATTTAGCCTGTGAGCATTTTTTATTTAACCCTTTTGCATCTTGTATGGATCCCTTTCGGTTAGTAAATTGATAAATATCCGGTTACTTTAGGAAGTCTGGTATTGCATTCTTTCCACTCTTTCCATCTCCATCCCTTTTTGCTGCAGGTGTCGTATTGCTGCCTTTCGACTCATCTGTCTCGCGCACGAGCACCGAGTCATCGGATACGGTCCGCGTGGGTGAGGACTATCTCTTCTCCATCGAACTTGAGGCTGCACTCGATTCTCTGCTTACGCATTGTGATGCCAGTCTGTCCGAGGTGGCTCTGATTCGTCGCGTTCTTCAGCTTCACCACTCGCACAAGTGCGAATTGCGTCAAAAACAACGTTCCGGTAGACCACTTTCTTACATCCGTGCCCGTTGTGATTCGGTGTGAGCACGTTACTAATCTCTTCATCTATTTGTACTTAATCACAAGTGTGCTGATTCATCACCTCCGTGAGAATGCTTTGTGAGCTGGACCATTTCAAAGGGTTACCGACCTATCATTGTGCATACACCAACATATTTGATTTTTCTGATTACTTCTGGACTCACGCTGCACCTGCTTTTCTCCACTAGTCTCTGATTTCATGCTGCACTCCCTTGTTACTTTTGCCAGTTTTTTAACGTCATCTCAACGTTTACCTCGAATTTTTATATGCACATCTGGTGTACTGTAATAACATCATATAGTCTCTCTGCTTTGCCCCCATTCTCAGTGTATTTTGCCATTCTGCCATAACGTTCTACCTCCGATCCTCCGCATACATGTTGCCGTGAGCTCACTGTAGTAGGCTAAAATGCCTTTCTAATCCGCTACCGTTTCCCACTTGTCTATCATACGTTACCGTACCTGTCAATTCGTTCCCGCTCCAGTAGCGTGCCACGTCCTGGCTGGCTGGTCTTTCGTCTTTTATGTGCCTTTTACCATGGTGACCAAATATCCCCTCCATGTTCACATCTACCTTACCGTCCACTTTCATGGACTCTCCCCCTAGTTTCCTGAAGAGCCATGTTGTCCCATGCACCTCGGGATCAAGTGTTATTTATCTTGTTCACGGGCTTATTAATGGAGCCATTTGCTTTCGACATGCTTTCTTCCCAACAGCTCATCCATTGTTGCATCCAATTTTGTAAAACACTCGTTCGTCATTCCTTGCTGCCGCTTAGATGAGATGAATTTGCTCAGCTCTTAACCACCCTGTACTTGTGCTCCAACGTTTCATTATCTCGATGCATGCTATCCTTTGAGATTTTGTTTCACCGGCAGAATGACATACGCCCCTTTCGCGATTGCTTTCCTTTTGCTTATTCAATTGTCGAGTAGTGCATCGCGTTCACATTCTGGAAATTCTTTTTATGCCGAATTCGGACAAAATGCTTGCAAGTTGTCATCAGGAGTACTGCGGCACACAGTACCGAAGCTTCGCTGCGGTGCTACTACCACCAGCCGCGCGTGGGCTTAGGATACAGCCACAGTCACCCGGTCCCCTACGCAGGCTCGAACCCGCGACCTCAGGCTTGTTCTCCTTAAGACCACGGGCCGACGACATATTAATGTGGCTCTTATTCTCCTCCGAACACCGTGAGCACTGCTCTTGGATTTAAAATAGACATACAAGAGCCATCATATCATGCTGCGTATCGCACAAGTTCAAGTTTACTAGCAGCGGACATTTGACTGTTCAAAATGCAGGCAATGTGTTTGTGACATCACAATCCTTTTATAACGCCTTTCAAAATGGTATCGATGGCGCCTGACAAAGGCTATATGAACACCTGCCTGACGCTCTTTTTGACCTCCAGGTCTTTTCCTTTCATCTTCTTGTTTCGGACATCTGTCGTGTGTTTGTAATTATCGCTGGTGCATTGACAGGTTGAAAACTAGCATGTAATTCGGATTACTTTGTGTCGCTTACATACGAAAATGGTGTTCAGCACCCTTTAAATCCTTTATGCGATAACATGGAATTATCGTACTGTGTCTTTTGCTCCAATCTTTCTAGGAATCGGCTTCTCGAATCTTCGACATATAATTTCTTGATGTGTGCTTTTTTTCCGGAACACGCGTACACGATAACGGCGTTGTGACGAATCTTCTGCCTCCTGCTTTTGTATCTGTTGACAATGACCACACTCTTCCCGTCTCTGGCTCAAGAAACTTACGGTGATGATATCGCCCTCGTCAAACATACTGTGAGCAATGTACTCGATTAGAGGCTGTTGAACGGCCACATGTGTGCGGCTCGACTTCGAACCTCTGTTGGAGTTAATCAGCAGAGTCTGAAGGCAGGGTGCTGTTTCCTCGCCTCTTTATATTCCTGACTGCAGTTCAGAGGCTATCAAAGACGGTTTCTATCGACAGTTTTCATTTTTTCTTCGCATGGCGAAGAATACTGACATCGCGATTGTTGTTAGTGACACGAATTCCCAAACTGGTTGTCTTTCAGACTATGAGCAGCGTCTGGGCGGCCGCTTCGGTGTCGATGAACGCCGAACAGACAATGATGATCGATTTCTGCAATTGTGCGCCGACCACAATAGCCGGCTGGTAGCTCTCTGGAAAGATGTCCATCCATTACTATTGGCTCATCTGGCGTGCCTGTGTTGTGTCTTTTTCTTTCCTCATGTATTGCGGTTTAATACCTGAGACGTTTCCCTCCTCTAGCTAACGCTTGTGATGTGATGAGGGTTTCAGAAGTGTGGGTCATATTCCTCTTACATGTGCCATTCACTTTAACGACAACGGCTCATATATGATTCCTTTGCTCCCCAACCACGAATACGTATTCAAGCCCATTGATTCCATTCAAGTCGCTTTTCACCCTATCGCACCTTTGTCGAGACACGGTGTTACGTTAGGTTTCTCAACACATCATGAACATGTACTTCCCTCATTAGTGAGACAATCCATCCAAGCTGTCTGGTCTATTGCACCTGTGCACAGTGTACGTTGTATGTCGGTCATCTCGATGGGCAAACGAGATTCACGATCTTTCCTTCCTTTTCATGCGTTGAACTCTAACGATTGACGTCCTAATGCCTAGTCTCATTTACTGGCTGTCACCTTACCTGATTTATTCACGTCATCTCTAGCTGCTCGTACCACGGGAAATGCAGTATTAGTATTTAAGTGGAAGGTCCCTTATTTCATAGTGGCCACTTCAATGACGTGTGCATCAACTATGGGGCTATGTCGTCTGTTGAATCGTTCATCGCAGATGATATACATAGCGGAGCGCGTCCCATTTTTAAACCCAGAGACCGTTTGATTTTCTTTCGGTCCAGTTACCACATCCAGCAACTTCCTTTCTCTTACTTGCAGAACATCGGAATCTCCACAACATGGCTTACGAAATGTTGCGGTGTATGATCAGCCCACCGGAAACCATGATTCCGTACGTTCCCTGATTTTTGGGATTGTCCCTCGCTGTGTTTTACGTTGATCCACTTTGTTACTTTTCCTACGTCTTCCATTATCATCTTTGTTGTCCCTTTTCTGCCTGTTTCTTCGAAGATGGAATTCAACCAATCTGTTTGAACCACCTGTTCGGTGAATCGAGCTTCTCACATCTTACGGCCTTGCTGCATCATGTTTCTTTCAATATCTGCTGTGGCCTTGAGATACGTTTTTGCGCATTTTCCGTACCGCTTGTCATCATCGATGCATACAACTATGCTATTTATTGACTCACCCTATGTACTCTAAAACCACCTTGAGATGACAGCTTTACGATGCCTTCTATACTCGCAACACGCCACCTCATTCTTATAGTTTGTGCCGGCTTGTAATCTAACTGACTATGTACTCCTTGTCTCTTCGTTTCGCTTGGCTGTTGTTTACTGATAGTAAATACAGACCTATTCGCCTTCGGTTGTGCGCCGTTAAAGCCAGTACATATAAGGCCATGTTTGTAGAGGCTTCGTGGCCTCTGTTTTCCCGATTCTACCACTATTTTCACGGACTAGAGTAGTTTATAGAATGACTTTAATGCACATTAGTTTGAATACACTAAATTAGTGAACATATTGACTGTTTATGAGAGGATATACTCACTGTCACAAATGTTCTCAAAACTACTCGACCTTGGTAATCACACCCCCCTTTTCCCTCTGTCAATGTCCTCCTCGAGGCTCCGTATCCTAAATTCCGAGCATTGCGCTTACGCTTAAATGGCCACTTCACCTTAGGTTGGACTCCAATCAACTCACGATGTAGCCCATGCAGTTTCCGTTTCTATCTCAATTCCACTTTGCTTGGCGTCGTTTTCCGTAGCGACTACTTTTGTGTGTGCAAGACTTATGTTGTTGTGCACAATTTCATATTCCCACGTTTTTCAAAGCTTATGTATTGTACCCAACGTATGTGTCGCCTCATTTGGTCTATCTACTGGCCCTTTCATTGTCCTAACGATGATGTCGTTATCAAATCTTTTGTCAGAAAAGTGCCCATCCAAATTCGAGGCGTTCTACTCATCTTTCTGGCCTTATCGACACCCCAACTAGTGTCACTTCAATCAAAAATAGAGCTGTCTCTGTTCTTCGACGTTTATCGTCGGCCGCGCACCGTCATTTGTGTTATACGCGCGCGACTGAAGGAAATCACAACTCTGCAACTTGCTCCACACTTCATCCCTGCGCCACTGATAATCAATTTTCACATCCGGAACGCGTTCGTACTGTTGGCTTAGTTGATATCGCATCTAAGCACGCAAGTGATCTGGAAGGGCGCTTAAGTCCTTTGACGGAGGTCGTCTCGGTTCACGTGAGTGCCGTTTTCTAGGATACCCACAGTCGAAATTGTTCTGCGTATCTAACACTTTCATGCAGCAGTAGATCACCTTAACCCAGATGAACCTCAACTTCGCAGGCTTATTACGTGGCTTGCTCGTGTGCTCACAGCTTGCTTTCGAAAAACAAACCACTATTTTACCTCTATCTTTTGCTATAAGGTGCGGTGCTCCCGTTACTTGTCGCAATGGGAACGGTGTATACTTCTTGCGGGGAAAACATCATCCATTCCTCGAGCGATGGGCCCGTTCATTGCGTTTTCTGATGGGACTGCTCGGTATTGCAGATTACGTGTGGTAACTCAATTCTGAATAGTCTGCTATATATAGGCTGTGGCGTATATGGCCGCGAATACGCCAGCGAGTTGTTTCATTATACCACAGAATAACTTCATTAACAATGTTTTCCGCTCCACCGTGACAAGGCGGTTTTGCGTGCTTCTTCATCCCGTTTTCCTGCTTCATTATGGCCACCAGGCTGTTATGGTTACTTGATAGGGTCCGGGGATTTGCTGTTTATGTTTGATCTCACTTATTCGCTTTGGAAATATTTTTCACAATGTTGTAGCCTGGTCTTCTGAAACTCCATGCTGTTCGCTGTGTTGTTATCCAAAAGTACATTTATTCCATTACTTGTTTATGCATCTCCAACCAAAAGGATCAGTCTATTAACTCCAATTTCATCTAGTGAGACAGCGGGTCATTTTATGTATTGTCTCGACCATTTTAAAACTATGAATTTCACTTTGTTAATCATCCCCTTTTGTGTGACTTGATTGTCGGGGTTTCTTTGCTGCGCCTTTTGAAGCTGACGTTTCCACTATTGAGTTACTGCCGAGTAACGCCTTTCCTTAAAGTAATGATAAAATAATTGTGTCGGCTGTACGCCGTAGCGCGACCACCACCAGTCGCGCGTGGACTGAGTATATCGCGAGGACGACCGCATGTATGCGGATTCGAACCGGTGATCTTATGATTGCAAGCCAGGCATGCAGACCACTTGGCCACCGGCTAATATCGTGATTCTTGTTTTTATGTGCACTTCTCTCATGTTGTAGTACTAGCAAACCTTGTGGCCATGATCACTTACCGATTATATACGCTGCAGTATCAGTCTGTTTAAGTATCCTTTGATAAGATTAATTACATCTATCTCACACTTGCTTAAAGTGCTTTTTGCGTTTACCATTAAATATAATCCTTAAAGTAAGCTTTCTCCCGTTGCTAAGAATTGACTTGCCGTTCAATTAATGGACAGCTGTGCTGAATGAGTTAGGGCGTTGTTTGCACAGCTGGCTGTTCATGTTCACTCTGGGTGTCATATGGATCGCGAGCGTCTTTTCCACCCGGATGTCCCCCCATTGTCATGTGAAATCTCTGCTCCCCATTCCCTCTTCAGTCTGGTGAACGAAAAGATCATAAGTGCGAATGTCACACTTCTTCTGGGGTTCTATATGCTGGATGACTAACAGTGTAAGCACACGCTCCTACCTAGGGGTCGTATACATCTTATCGAGAAGTATACAAATTTATTTATTTACTCACATAGTCCTTTTAGGTTCTAACACGGTTGTTTACAGGCTGCTGGCACAAAATGCACTTTACGTTGCATGAGTCTTGTACTGGAGGACATGGCTCCGATCTCACTGACTCAGAGTATAGCGCTTTCCTCGATGTGTGGTGGACATCTGCCTGAGTCTAACTGTTACGAACCTACACAAAATACCCAGTAAATCCCCTACCACTTACAAATAATCAGCAGTCGTCTTAGCAGCTTACATGCCACCTCGATTGGTGGCGGCTTGCAAAGCAGCTCGTGGCTCTGGACGCAAGCGTTGTCCTCTTCACGTTCATAACATGCATGACAGTGGGGGATGAGCCGCGCAATATCGCAGTTAGATATCAAGTCATGGCGGTCCACTGCCATCGCACATAACTCGGTGGTATTAGTCGCTTCCTCGCAAGAGTAAGGTCTTGGGTTCGAATCCGGTAGGATTCCGCGGGTGTGCGCTACTGACGAGTCTCAGTAGTATGAGCCGGTCGTTAAGCGCTTTCCTATATGTGTGCTGTCTGTCTGCCTGACTCTAACTGCGACAAACCTTCACAAAATATGGACAAACAGTTGGCGAAATTCGTTGTTATGCTCACTTATCTGGATGCTTTTCATTTACGATGTTCTTGTCACTGCTTATT